ACCCAGCAAGAATAAAATGTTTGTCAGCCTGGATAACCTCAGAAGGGTCACTGCAAAAACTAAATGCAAAGCAAGTTAGACAACTTGACTTAGGGGTGTCTGAGTGCCATCCTTAGGGGACGCCATGTGCCTGCTGTGCCACATAAAAAGTAAATGAGAGCTCTTTTGGAAATGAGGCTCTTTTACACTCAATCGGCTGTGAAAAAGAAGAGGACTTTTGCTCCATCTTAACCCTTTAGGACACTAAATAGGACTGACCTCGCCTCAGACCAGGGGCTTTGGTGTTGACACAGGCCACTCAGAGATCAATACCATTGACCCCTCTAAACCCTGAAGATAGGGTGCTCTGTGATCCTTAGGGACAATAGGATTGGGAAGTCCAGCAGTCCAGTCTGTCCAGAGAAGTCGTCTGATGGAGAAGATGGTGTGATGGGACCAATATTGACCAATACCCTGTCAGTAGTATATCTGCTGCAGCGCACCCTCTCTGTTCGTCAGTTTGATGCAGACGGAGACTGATAGTAAAACCTTGAATTAGAAGTTGAAGTATTCAGATTCTTTACTAATGTAAAACTAACACACTGTGTTGTTGTTGTTGTTGTTGAAAATATACTTCAGAAAAACTTTGTAAGTATTTTCAGCAAAGCCTAATCAAAGTATCACAAGTGAAGTATCCATAATGCAGGAAAATGGACCCTGTCACTGTTATGCTATTATAATTTACATGTATATTTATATATAAATATTTTAATTAGTTCATATATTGTTGGATAATATATAATGCATCATATTTTATAAACTGATCATAAGTTTTGTATATAAACTCTTCATCTGTGAAGTATCTAGCAACTGCACCTGTTATTGACATCTGTTGCCCTTTTTCACCGCAGTAAATTTTGACATGTCACATTGGGTGTAAATAATACGGTTAATGATGGCTGAATTCCATTTAGTTGCTTCAGTTTCAGGGTCCTGGTGTTGTGCATGCATGGCTTACTGGGACATTTAAATAGAGCTGAGCCATAATTAATGTCATTACTAACACCTGAACTTTTCCTGCTATGACAAGTCAAAATGTTTGCTGCGAAAAAAAGGTCCATTTCAAAACTAAATTCCTATTTCAAAATGAAGTTACACCTATAGTTCTCGGTGACAGGTGATGTCACAGTGAATTAGCCATGGGAATAAATGTTGCGATGAGAACAACACCTTTCACCTCCACTTTACTGAGTAGAAATGTAATAGCATTAATTTTTATCTCTGTTGCATTTAATGGCAAAAATCTCAGCAGTGGATCTGAAAATCTCCCCAGATAAAACTAAAAACCTGGGGTTTAAGTGGTGAATTGGGTGAGCTGACCTCAGACCCGGCTTGGAGCTAATTATGCAGAACACTAAGTTTATTATATAATAACTACAGCAGTGTTGAGCTGCACTTAGGGTTTAAATGTTCAGTCTCAATTTGTACCTTTTAAAAAATAGTTACTCAACTTCCACTTTTACAATAAAGATGTAAAGTGGTGACACACAGGTAACATTAGATGCACAACCTGATAATGGTGTTGCCATTATAAATTTGTTCAGTTTAATCGTTGCTCTGCCAAGACTTCCCTCTGTGAGGGTGTAACTACACTGAAACTTGTTGTAAGTCGTCTCTGACTGTCTGACCTTTGACGGGGCAACCTGAAGCCTGACAGTCTGGACACTCTGCTCCCTTCGGGTTGAAGCCTCGGTGAGAAAACAAAGTCTTTGGCAGGACACTGATGCTGCTCCTTGGCTAAGCATGGCTGACGGCAGCTTCCTCTGTGTGGCCAGAGGGTCACTCTGGGTGACATGCTGTTCTGGGGGGACACTGTGTCTCTGCCTGCAGAGGAGATTAGAGGGGTGAGCTGACCTCGTTCTCAGAGGGGCCGATGTGTTTTGAGTAAACACTCAGTGCAAGACAAAAACACAGGCTACAAACACAGGCCAATCCTCAGGCGGTGATCCCATTGTTTCACAATTACTCCTGAACAGGCATGAGAGAGGAGAGCAGTCACTCTGTGCTCCTGAGCTGCAGGGAGTCCTCATGTCTCTCCTGAATGCAGCACTCTCAGAGCAATTACCTTAATATTCCTACACATGCCTCTACCTGGCCATATATAAAGTAATTAAGTAATAAAGTACGGTGTTTCTTTTATTTTGTTGGTGATGTTAGCATGATGCATGATGGTGATATTATCAAGATATTTCCTGATGGCCAGGTAGTGACATTTTAGGACTTTCAAATTGAAAAGACTGTATGATGTATAAATGACCATTACATTGATTTGAAATCTTCTGTAAAGCTCATCAAAACCAGTAAATTTAGTTAATGAATCTCTCTGATCAACTAATCAATTCAGATCTATGTGTCTGTTATTTTGTCCACCCCTGCAGAACAACCAGTGGGTCAGTGTCCTGCTCAGGGACCTTTTGTGAACCTGTGGCACTTACCATCACCATCACCTCACTGCCCCTCAGTGTCCCCCCTGTTTCCAGATCACAACCCTGCGGGCTTTAGGACCTCCAGCATCTGCTCTCTAAGGATGGTCTTGTTTTTGTCCGTTACGTTCATGCATGTAATCATTGATTGAGCCCATTGTGACAGGCCGATTTACCATCTGTAGGGTCCCATGGGCCTGATACTGCTGTCACTAGTCTCCCTACAGACTTTAAGGAATTCCCCTTTAATTTCCGGCCGCAGATTTAATCTCAAACAGGTTTCACATTTAATCCTGGTGTTTAAAAGACCATACCTGCAGCCTGTTCCATCTTTACTGGTGCGCAAACGTTCACTCACAGCGTCTCGGGCTCTTCTTTTAGGTTTTTTATCATTGTCGATGTCCTATCAAATGGTAAAACAGGTTAAAGTGAGACATCATTTGGAAGACAATCAATTTTTAATCAGGAAATGCTGAAATGTAACTTTTACCTTGCTGGGAGCTGGAGCCCTGTGGGTCCTTGAATACGAGAGTTAAATCTATTCATTCCTTTTCCTCAGAAACTGTGAATAAAATAAACAAACAAACAAATAGCCTCCCGATGCTGTGAGCTGCTTTTACAAATTCATGAGTCACTTATTTCCTCAATACTGGCACACGGAGAGGGTACAGATCTTTTTCCGCCTTGAGTAAAATAAATTCTTTGCTATTGTAGCTACAACTCAGTGAAATGCTTACTTATGAAAAACAGCAGTTGGAAGTGGGATTTCATTTTATTAAAGCTTGAATGAGCAAATGATGACACAGTCATTTCTTATCGCGTTACCAACCCAAGACACAACTCCTTCATGCCACACTTTTTTTTTCTGTTTCTTTTTCTTTTTCTTTTTTTTTTTCTTTGCAAGTGGGCTTGCTCTCCAGACGAGTGTGAGCCTTTGCCGCCTCCTGCTGTAGCCCACCCGGCGCCCTGCCCTCCCTACGCGCCTCCCCGGCTCTTTTTCCCACTGCTGAGAGGAGCAGGACGCGGCCATAGCGGCGGGAAGCAAATTATCTACAAGCACTTCCCAAAAAAAAAAAGTTCACACTCACATACACAGATGCCACCACAAGCAGCGACTCACATCGTCTTAGACCCGAACGAGGGAGCTTTCTAGGAATAACCTGACAGGAGGATATAGTGGAGCAAAATGGATATCTAATTATTATTCTTCCTTTTTTTGTTTAATTCTATTTTTTCTGTTGCTTTTATTGCGCATTGTCTGGTTCAACTATTTTAAAATACAGAACATTTTTGTCGCTCTAAATTAAATATCCTGAAAAGGAATTAGGCCTGAACTCGTGTTCTTTTGTGTTTTATTAAGACGCACAGGGCGCACCTGTGTGCCACTGGTTGGACAAGCGCACAAGACGGTGTAAGACAGACAGGGAACTTCCTTTCAATACATCAACTTTATCCCTTCAATAATCATCCGCCAAGAGGACTACAATGTCTGGAGGGAGTATGGCCTGACTTTTAACGCAGCAAACGTGTGTCTGGCTGCTGTTGGACGCAGTGGAGGAGCGCACCACATCCGCAGTTTGGCACCAGAAAGTCCACAGAAACTGAAAAAAGCCAAATAAAATCTCAGCATCGCTACTTCTGCGCTTGCCGTGGGAAGTGTGGATGTTGTCGGGACTGTTAACAGGCACTGCATTAAGAGCAGCTGTCAAACTCATGGGGTCCTCCTGCCCCCCGGGCCACTGCTGAGCTCTGCTGAAGTCTCCACTGCGCATGTCAGAGCGCTGGACAGCTCCAGAGAGGGAAATTTAAAAACGGTTTTTGGAGAATCAAGTGCAACACAGTGAAATACAGTACAGGGGCTCACGACCGGCTCTCACACTCTTCAGTATCATCCAAAACAGGTGAGTTTTTACCACTTCTTTCTTTCAACATCTCAGTCTTTGTCGGACTGTTCATTTTTATTAGCCATTTGACGTTTGAATGATTTTAAGCCTTTAAGAGTAGTTTCACTGTAAGCAGGCTGAATGATAAACCATTTATATCTATAGGCTGAGTAAATGTGACCAAACTGTTACGTAAACATTTGAACTGAATGCTTATTTATTACAAACTTTATTAGTTTATTCACTCAATGCATTTTTTTAAGCTACGAAAACTCAATTATTGAGAGTTAAGGGCAACAGAAACCATTCAAACAGTGAAATGGGCTCCAGCTACAACAAAGACATACTGATGCCAAACTGAAATTTTACAAGCTGCTATCAATTCATTTTTGAATTTGCTTATTCTTGTAGTAAATTCTTACTGAATCTTAAATTTGAGTTTAAAAAGTTTGCCTGTGATTTTATATTTTCAGAAATAGCCCATGCTGTTCCACCATTTACTAAAGAGGACACTATTTGAATATTTACTAACACTGTAACAAACAGGCTACTTCTACATAGCTTGTTTACTTCTGTTTGAATACTCACAGAGAACATAAGCTAAAGTGTGTTCATTTGATTCATTTCAGTGCAGAGGCACCACATATCCCAGGAAATGATAGAAGGTGGAATTACATCCAGGATGTCAGGAATAATTGAGAATGCTGGGCATCATCCGTCTCCACAGGACTACAGGTGAGACTTCTGACTGAAAACTTGTTGCATTATATCAGGACAATAGTTACAGAATCTTTTAGGGATAAACAGTGCAGATCGTTTTTGTTGCATATTGTCAAAAACACTCATGATCAACTCTGAGACGCCTCAATAGATAAAAGGCATATTTATATGAATCAAATCCCTTGAGGTGTTTTGCAAATAGACATGGAACAAATTGTCTAACCCCACTATGTTTAATCTAAAGGTAGATGGACAGCTCTTTTTGTGCGTGGGGGGTTGCATGAAAAAGGCGAGAGGAGAAAAAAATCCTGGAGAATAAATGATTTTCAGTCTGAATGGATCTGTCAGAAACCATCAGCTCTGTTTACACTCCCGCTGTCGGCACACGGAGAGCCTGAGCCTCTTGGCCTGCCGGCTCAGGGGGAGATGGGGCGCTCTGGGTCACCAGTGTGCACAAGTGGCTCCCAATTAGAAAAGGAGGGAGGTAGGGAAGGAGGGAGGCAGGGAGGGAGGGAAGGAGGAGGTGCAATATTTAGTGTTGTTGAACCTCTGGGAAGGCTCGGATGATACATGGAGACACCGGTTGAACATGTTTTGCATCAGTGAGCAATTTCTATGCTGCTGGTGCAGAGAGAGGAGGGGTGGTGGAAATACCCCCAGCATGTCACCTATTCTATAGTTTCTATCAGCATGTATTACACATTTATCATGAATGAACTGCAACCTTGAGTAGATTTGTGAAGCAAAAGTGTAAAAGACAGGCTACAGCAAATATTGTACTATGATTTGATTCACTTGGGAGTGTATGCACATCTACTTTTCATACATTAAAAAAAGCACCTCTGTTTCAGTCAACAATCCATCAGTTAAAGATTCTTTGATTGTTATGCTTGGACAGTATTTCTTCATTTTGTCACAAGTAAAAGAAAACTCAGAGACAGAAAGGAAGAATGAGGGCTAGTCTCACAAAGGCACACTAACTTCAAAAGCTCCAGCTGTGATATTGTGATACTTTAGAGGGTGTTAAATTCACATTGCCACCCGCTTCTAAAGGATGATCACTCAAAATCATTTACTGGCGCATGCAAGGTGTTTGAGGATGTATGCTGCTGATTCCTGGCTGCAATGATGTCACCCGTTCGGATGGCAGACACAGAGCCCTGACCTCAAACTACATTTGCACCCCCTCTGGCCCGAGGCTCCGTTGATTTCCCCGTTTAGGGAGGATGAGGGAAGGGGGGGCCAGAGGGTGATGGAGGGGGAGTTGGGGGCGGCAGTGAGGATAGAGCCTGGAAAGGGATAGGGAAGCAGATGGCATCCTATTTGTCCCTCTTATGTGAGGGCTGTCATTCCAACAGATTAATGCAAGGGCTGGGTAAAGAAAAGAAACGACAGAGACAATCAAGGAAGGGTCTGGGGAAGACAATAGAGCCACGTGCCACTGGGCAGATTTGTCGTTTGGGACACAATAGGTGATCATTTTTCAATGGACAAGGCCAACTGTTGCAGGCAACATGTGCTGCTGTCCCATGTTTCAAACGATCTCATGCGTTGTTTACTTATGATTCAGCCAATGGTTACGGCCAGACCGTGGTCACCTGACACAGGGTTGATTTTTTATTAGGAGATTTGTAGTGTGTGTGTGTGTGTGTGTGTGTGTGTGTGTGTGTGTCTGGGGGGGGGGGGGGGGGGGGGGTGTACTCCTACACTGTCAACAGACCCACAAAGTAACTGAATAGTATGTGTTGTCATAGCGACCCCAATTACTAAACCCTTGCCCAGTAAGTGTGTGTGTGCCGAGGAGACTGGAGAGGATTCAAGAGGATTCCTCCCTTTTCTTTCTTTCTCTTGGAGGCTCTCCACATAACAGACGAAATGACTGAAAGCTGATTGGTACTGGCAGTGCACTGGTTAAACAGAAAACCTGCATCTAATCCAGTTTATAGCACAACATTTATAAAATTATGGGTTGAAAAAAAATCTTTAATGAAAAATCATTTGTGTAAATTTAATTTGCTATTTTTTGTCTATTTTATTTTTTCATATTTGTATTCACAATTTACAAAGAAGCAAAAATTAAGACAAACAAAGATCAGTGTGGCACTAAGGAAAAAAAACAATAATCTCAACAGATGATTTACTCTGAATGGAAAGCTTGTTTAACTCCCTCATTGTTGATTAAAACTGTCACTGCTAAATAGCACTTGTAGTTAATCTTCTTATGGGAAATCCTGGATGGCACAGCTAATACTCGGCTTCACCGAGCAGCTTTCATCTCTGCTTCCCCACATTCACACACTTTACAGTGGGTTTGACTTTGAAGGACAAAATGTTCTAAGTGTTTACATTTAAATTCCACTTGTGGTTTATGTGTGTCTGTGCTGACAGCCGTGTTAACCCCTCAATGCCCCCCTCCCTCCCCCGCTCAAAAAAAAAAAAAAAAAAAATCTCCCCCTACCCCCTCCTCTCTTGAAGGCTTCTGACCACGGACCCCTCCCAGCTGAGGGAGGAGGACCTCCCTGGGGACCTGCAGTCTCTGTCATGGCTCACCTCTGTGGATGTGCCCCGACTACAGCAGATGGCTGATAGCCGAGGCCACAGTAACGGGCCCTCCCAGGGCAGCTTGTTGGAGCAACAGGCAGGTGAGGTGACAGGGAGGGGGACAGTGCAACATTCAAAAACCGCATCATCTCTCTGATTGGATAAATCAGGACTGCTGGATTCTTCTGGATTTCTGGCCCTTGCAGATATGAACACAGTTTTATAGGATTATCCTCAGAGATAACAGTGAAATGGACGATGTGCTCTTCTAACCATTGAGATTTTTTCTATCGTAGCTTAGGTTTCCAAACATAATGAAAAGGTCATTTAAAACACTAATCCAGATACATTATATTGAACTATTTAATTGATAACCACATTCATCTCTGTCACTGTGCAGAAGAAGTCTGTAGAAGTCTATAAATGTCATGTGTAGTCATAACATCCTGTTTTTCAAGAGAGGTTCTGTTGCTGAACTTATTACAAGTTTCCACTGAGCATCAACGTACTGTCATAAGCTACAGCAAATATCTCCAGACATGAAAGATAACATCACAAATATCTGGATGAATAGAAAGCACTCCACGTATAAATAGTTTAAATAGGTTTGTTTGTGTTTTTTTTACTTTAAACTAAGATGAGTGTGGATGTTCATCCTTACAGCTCAGCTGAGCAACATGACGATGACAGCGGGACAGGGCTCCATGCTCCAGCTCCAGACCAACATGCAGCACAGCCCTCTGGGAATCAGCATCATCAACACCCACAGCGGAAGTGTAAGTTTCTTTTATGTTGTATGACGCTTAGATAGATAGATAGATAGATAGATAGATAGATAGATAGATAGATAGATAGATAGATAGATAGATAGATAGATAGATAGATAGATAGATACTTTTTTCTTCTTTTATGTTTATATATGTTTATATGGTTTAATGTAAAATGCCCCTGCATGTTTCACAGATGTCTCCATTCTCCATGAATGGGCTGCCCTCTCCAGGATATCAGTGCCCTACCTCAGTCTACCAGCCCACACCCCAGCAGGTGTACTCTCTAACCCAAACCGGACAACAGGTAACATACTTTAAGCTAACGACGAGCCTGATTTTATCAACAGGAAAATGTGATGGACAAGGTCCTAATTATTCTCTCCTCTCTCTCTTAGTGTTCAACAGGTGGGCTTTATAGCAATGTCTCTTTCAACGACCAAAGTCTATTCACACAACCTCGCCTGGCTCCACAAGACCAGGAGCTGCAGCCCAAGTCTTTCCCCAAGCCAATCTACTCCTACAGGTCAGGACACAAATATTTGGCTATTAAATAAAAATATCCATCAAATGTATTGCACCTCATCTGCTTTGAGCTGCATTCGAATAAAGATTTAATCTTTTTTTTTCCTCAGCTGTTTGATTGCCATGGCTCTGAAAAACAGCAAAACTGGCAGCCTCCCAGTTAGTGAGATTTATAGCTTTATGAAGGAACACTTCCCTTATTTTAAGGTATGATATTCTATTAATATTACCAGCAAGGACTAAAAGAGAAGATAGATAAAGAACGTGACTGATAATACACTGCTTCTCTCCCTGCAGACTGCACCTGATGGATGGAAGAACTCCGTCAGACACAACCTGTCCTTAAACAAATGCTTTGAGAAAGTGGAGAACAAGACGAGCAGCTCGTCCCGTAAGGGCTGTCTGTGGGCACTGAACCCTGCCAAAATCGACAAGATGGAGGAAGAGATGCAGAAGTGGAAACGCAAGGACCTGCCAGCCATCCGCCGCAGCATGGCTAACCCTGGTCAGACATGTATTTGCTTACTTAAAAGTTAAAGGTCTAATGCTTAGCCAATGTCTAGTAAGTCTGATTATCTGTCTTGTTCCCTGCAGATGAGTTGGACAAACTGATCACAGACCGTCCAGAGAACTGCAGACGTAAGGCTATAGAGCCCGGCATGACCCGGCTGCCCAGCTGTCAAACCGGCCTCCCGCTGCCCGTCCCTACCCAGATGCAGCCGCAGCCTATAGTCACGCTGTCCCTGCCATGTTTACCCATGCACCAGCACCACCAGTTTCAGGCCCAGCTCCAGGCTCAAGCCCGACTGGCCCCCATGTCCCCTGCCCCGGCCCAGACACCTCCCCTCCACACAGTCCCCGACCTTTCCCACAGTCCACTCACCCAGCAGCCCAGCAAGCCCCCTGACGATTTCTACAGTGTGCATGGCGATACGCACACAGAGGTGGATGCACTGGACCCAAGCATCATGGACTTTGCCCTTCAAGGTAAATACTTTTTTTTTTTTGACAAGTGTCAGGCGTGTTTTTTGTTTGCTGGATAAGTGTTGTTCAAGTGTTGTTGCAGCAGCACATTGACCTCTCTATCTATCTGCTCAGGTAATCTGTGGGAGGAAATGAAGGACGACAGCTTTAACTTGGATGCTTTGGGCACCTTCAGTAACTCGCCCCTCCGACTATCAGACTGTGACTTGGGAACAGCTAGCCTCCCTCCTGCCTCCACTGGAGCGAACCTGCCACTGTCAGATGTGCAGGTGACGGGCCTCTACACCTCCTACACCACCCAGGATCCCCTGACTTCCCAGTACATGGGCGCACCAGCCAACAGCAAGCCCATCGCCCTGCTTTAAAGCAGCTAAACTGTCTCTAACAGAGTCAATGTGATTTATTCAACTGTCTGTGGATATCTTTGGACGCCGGCTGAAGGAGTCTGAAGTCTGGTTTCTTTTGTGCTACTAAAAGTACAAATCACACTGCTTTCCTACAGTCACCTGGGAACTACCTGGAGAAGGATGTTTGAAAATCATTTCACATGCATTCCACAACAAAACTGCTCGTTAAGAACTAAAACTGCTGATGAATTAAGATGTGGCTGTAAGAAAAAGTATGTAAGACTTAAAATATCTAGCTTTGCCAAGCAAAGACTCAAAGCCTGTATGAGTACAAGGACTCTATGTGGAGAAGTATGTGTATGTTAGCATCCACCAGTTTTTCTACTGTTCACTCTGCATTTTAAGGCCTTTCCATACTGTAGCTCCCCGTCTCTTGTCTTTTGTATTGTGCTAGACATTATTGCTGTGATGTTTTATTTATATTTATAAAAAGGCAGCTGGAGAAGGTGATGACTCTATCAGTCTTTTGCTGTATATACTTGAATGTTTCAAATTGCTATCGCCACAGAAAAGCTTTCTTTCGACTGTATTTACCCACTTCATTCCAAAATGCAAACGTGTGCCAACCCTTCAAGATTTTACACATTATTCTTCTACACACTGTGATTAACATGTCTGAAAGTCAGATGTATATTATGTTCATTAACTTGGCCATAATAAAAAAAAATCAAATGGGTAAATAAAAGAGGCTTCTTTTGCCAAAAAATATATCAATGACATTTATTAACAACTGCCCTTGGTAGAAAGCCACACACTGGAAAGAGTTTATATACATTCAAATAAATGTCACAGTTGATATTTCTGGTTTTGTGATCAGAGGTAAGGCAAATCCACACATTATCTGGGGACCACTTTGGCAATTAATGTCCACCTTTGACAAAACCTGAGCGTTAAGAATTGCTTCTTTATGTCTGAGATATTCTGACAAAAATGAAAGAAACTCAGAAGTATCACATACAGTGTCAAAACTATCTCCTGTCAATCATACCATTGTCATTAGCACACTAAAACAAGACAGATAAACAGACTGAAAGTGACAATGATTGACGCTCGATTCCAACGTCAACAGTGAAATGACACAACTGGACTCATGATACTGATGTATTAGAAATAATAAATTGCACTTCTGCATTACAATACTGATAAAAATGTTATATTTTTCAGTCCATGCAGAAATTAAACTGAAACTTTAATTCACCACTTTACTGGGTCAGGAATTTGACATATGTTATTTTCTTTGTGTTTTATTTGAAGACTGATCAAAGAATTGATCAGTTGTCTGGGCTCATTTTTACATCAACTACATTCAAAGATGAACACAAACTCTCTATTTAATATCTTTAAATAAACGTTGCAACCAGCACCAAAATAAAATGAAGTCTCCCATTTCATGTAGCTTGTATAACCCTGACCTCAGTAGACTGCACAGAGCCTATCAAGACAGATTTAATACTGACACACCACTATGTACAAATGCAGCGGAGTGAAATGTGCGTTACAGCGATAGCTTGTGAACCAGAAAGTTCCTGGACTCAGCTGCTGAAACGACTGACAGCTTAACTCGCAGATGTAAAAGACAAGCAGTGGAACGGATTAGGACAACCCTGTGAAGACAGACAGAGCACTGTAGTGGTTTTGGGATCACTGAGGAATAAGTCACTTATTGCAGTGCATGTGTGCATTATTGCCCCAACTATAATCCTTTAAAATCATTTTCAGCCTATACAATACAATCAAACTAGAACCGACCGTTTTGTTCTCTTTAGTATTATAACCTGAAGCTACCTAAAGCTTCTCAGCTTAACTGGTGCTGGTGCTGTCCACAGTTGCGAGCAGATGCAAAAGCTTGGCCCTCTGGGACGGAGTGATGTTCTGGCTCATGTGGATGATGCAGTCCATGGCTACGTCAGGGTTGGCCTGCACCAGACTAGAACACAAGAGGGAAACAGTGACACAGACATAGCTTTTAAACATGCTAACAGGTGAAAATGAAGAGACACTGAGACTGGTCTGGACTCAGTGGTTGTCTCTTTGCACTTTGATTGTGATTAAAGAAAAATTTTGTGTCCTGTCCCAATATATCAGAAACTCACTGGTTGTCGATCACCATGACGACTCTATCAATATTAAATGAGTGTGCCAAACCCAGAATGCATCCCGGGTGGTTACAGCTATGAGCAGGACTCTCCAATGAGGAATATATGGGAATTCCTACAGGCAGTTTTAGTTGAACATGACTGAAGAGATAAAGTGACTCACTGAGTGATTGACTGAGTCATTCAGTTAAGATAACATTTCACCTTCACTGATTCCTGAGTTCATTAAGATGCAACACATCAATCATGCTGTTAATGGTCCACAAAACGTGTGTGCGTGTGTGTCTGCATACCTGCGGATGTGTTTCAAAGTGTTTTCACGTTTCAAGTACTTGATGTTCTCTCGGATAGCTGATCGAGTGCCGTCCTCTGTGGACAAATGCTTCTCAAGCCACTCAACTACTGCTTGGTTATTATCCCAAAGGTAAGCCTGGGAATGAAAACAGACACACGTTCAGATTTCTAATCAGTTCAGTTTTTAAGAATGAAGTGCTCAAAAATAAAAACTGGCTCATGATTTATGATCCACAGTCTAAAACTGTCACTGGGTACGACCAAGACAAGCAACAAACTGGCTTCAGCCTTTTAAGTCTCTCAGTGTGTCTTGATTGCTGGTCATGTTAACAGTCACATACAGGGGTTACAAATAAGAACGACTTCACAAGTGTCATGGTAGATAAACATACAGTACCACACAAAAAGCTATTCTCAAAACTACACTCAATGCTTAAATTGCATGTTGGGCATTGGCAGAGAAAGTAACTCTTGGTGTCATCTCATACCTTGACTGTTCCCTCTGTTTCAACAAACCAGCGTCGCAGCATGGACTGCATGTGTCCGTCACCGAGGTCCTTGTTGGCCTGCAGAATCTCATATTTCACCACCTGCTCCAACAGGAGGCGACGCAGACGCCAGTAGAAGAAGGTCCGCACATTCTTCCAATCCAAAATATCCTGTCAAGAGGCCATTGTAAAATATGTTACAGCAGCTTAATTGTCCTCTGAGTGCAGTTTCATTTTCTGCACCTTATGTTACACACATATTCCCAGACTTAACATCAGTGTGTTCATGAAGTGTTCACTCACAGTGATGACACCCTTCTCCTGCATCCTCCCTGGGGTGTCATGGAGGTCTGCAAACTGCACTGCCACCTGGTGGTAGATGGGTAATAGGAATTCCTCCCTTGCTTTGAGCTTCGACTCCAGCTCTTTGCACTGTTTGTCAGACAGCTCCAGGGAAGCTGATGAAAATAGAAGAGCTGTGAGTCACTCTGTGGGTATGAATATCACAGCAATATTGCAATTATAAAGAAAACAGGAAAATACAAGTGGCTGCATGAGTTGAGATAAAAAGCTTTTACCAAGCTGCTCAACCAGACTGGCATAGACTGAATCTAGTCTTCTCATGGTCTTCAACAGGTCCTTCCTCCTGAATTTGATCTCCACTGTACCTTCAGCCTCCAGCACACCCCCTCTGGACAGAGAAAGCAGAACAGACAAAAAGACAAACTTGTAATCACACACATCTGTTGTTTAGGTTGGAAACACAATTTTATAACTATTAAAACTCATGTACCTGCTCTCCCTGTCAGCATAGAGCTCCATACACAGGGGGTTGATGGTGGGGTCAATCACCACCCAGGACCCTCCCCTCAACTCAGCATGCGGTGGGATGTACACCAGCACTGGCTGGTGGAAACCATGCAGGGCATCAACAATATAGGCCCCAAACTTCAATATCTGGTCATACATATCTGAGGGAGAAATGGGCATAAGAAGTCACGTCAAGTCTAGTATGTTATACAGTCTCTCTGCGACGTTTAGTATTCATCCTATACCCTTCATTCCCCCAGAGAAGCCCCTCCAGTTGGCAAACACCATGAGAGGCAGCCGTTCACGGTTAAAGTCGCAAATGGCCTGAGCTGTTTTAAAGGCTGAATCTGGGAACCACACCTGGCCCGCCTGCTGCAGAACCTGACGAGAACACACAAAAACACACGGGCAGAGGTGAAATGCTCTTCTACTTAGAATCACAGTCTATTATGTATGTGTATGTATGTTATGTTGTGTTTTTATGACGTGAACATGTGGAGAGATTTACTCACTTTAGATTCTGAATCCAGGTTGGCTGGATCGGCAGGGACAGTGAACTCAACTGTGCGTGTTTCAACAGCAATGACACCGAGGGGGATTCCCCCTAGCCTGTATTCATTCAGCAGTATTAATAATCAGTTCAAGTGTAAGGTTTAATAATCATTTAACAAATAGTGTATACACTGAGTATAAAGTGATTTACCGCGCTCTTCCCACTACCACTGTCTGAGCCCAAGACTCCATGATCTCCATGAAAGAGCCGTGGTCGAAGAATCCACTCTGCCAGGCACCTCTCACCGCTAATGACACCAATAATGAATGGTCATAACAAGGAAATTTATTTGGTTCACTAATGAAAATTAATAGAAAAGTTTCAGAGTTTAGATCCTGCAACTCACTGGGGTGAGGTCTCCCAGCCAGAATCCAGCGAGGGTCGTACGGTGCTTTTGTAGGAGTGAATTCTATTTCTCTGTCTACTGGATCTGTAGCTGCTATAACAGGCACAGGGGAGTGTTTGTTCTGTGAGGAGAGAGGAAGAAGTTAGTGATGTGGTTCAGTTACTGCATATAGATCTGGATGTAACAATATATGAACCTTTGGCATGTAGGAGAGCCACTGCAGGATGGTGAAGACGCCCTCAAAGTCATCTGGCACAGTGGTGTGAGTGACTCCATTATTGTGCATGATCTGGACTCCTCCCAGCTGGTTGTTAGAAGTGTAGACCTCTCTGCCCAGAACCTGTACAGACACAGGGACGTAAATGACCATG